AATAGCCAGGTGGGTCATATTGGCCCAATCACCGGGAGATGGGGAATTCTAGTCCCGCCTTAGACCGAATAGCCAGGTGGGGTCATTTTGGCCCAATCACCGGGAGTTGGGGAATTCTAGTTCTGCCTTAGGCATGAAAGCCAGCTGGGAGACTGGGGAGAACTGGCGCTGCCCACCCCGTGGCTAACCTTGCTCTCCCCTCTTCCCACCCGCTCTGGGCTGCCGGCTGCCCTCTCCCCCCCCCGCGGGACCCCCTCCCCCATCTCCCCTCCCCACACAGCCCCCGGAGTCGCCCCTGGTGCAAATGATGCTGCAGCTCTTCTCCTTCCTGGAGCGTTACTCCCATCTGCAGCAGCTGCAGGAGAAGGCCGGCGAGTACCGTTCGCGCCTCCACTGGCAGGAGAGCCGTTGGCGCCGGCAGATGCGGGGTCTGAAGAGGGCCTACCAGCAGCGGGTGAAGGACAAGCTCAGCGTCATCCAGAGTCTGGAAACCATCATCCTGGAGCAGCAGGGCCTCCTGGAGAAGGTGCAAGCAGGTGCGATGCCCTTTCGGAGCGGTTCACTCACAAAGCCCGCAACGCCATCCTTGGTTACGTTAACCGAGGGACAGAATCAAGACCACGTAACGTTGTAGTACCACTTTATAAGGCCTTGGGGAGGCTGCGTTTGGAATCCTGCATCCGGTTTCGGTCACCACGATGTTAAAAAAAATAAATAAAGAGGGTGAGACTCCAGAAATAGTGCGGAGAAGAGCAACCGGGGGGATTAGGGGACCGCTCAGTTTAGTTTAGGGTACCTTATTGTCCTTGCACCTCGTGCAATGAAATTAAATGCCACCTTCAACGCGCACGATCCAAATAAAACACAAACACACACCCTTCACAATTCCATACCACTGAGTTGAAAACCCGCTATTGCATTCATATCGCACTACGCAGTAGTACGAGGGACCCGATGGCTCAAGGGCTAAGACGCTGAGCTTAGCGATCAGGAAGGTCGGCCGTTCGGCGGTTCGAATCCCCAGCGCCGCGTCATGGAGTGAGCTCCCGTGTTCCTTGTCCCAGCTTCTCCCAACCGAGCAGTTTGAAAGCCTGTTGAAAACAAATGCAAGTAGAAAAATAGGCACCACCTTTGGTGAGAAGGGGACAGTGTTCCACGCGCCTTCAGTGTTTAGTCATGCCAGCGACATGACCACGGAGACGTCTTCGCACAGCACTGGCTGTTCTTCGGCTTTGTGACGGAGGTGAGCCGGAAACGTCCAGCATGTATGTGCGAGGGGAACCTTTAAGCTTTACCTTATACAGCAGTACAGTACAATATGGCAGTACAATATTGTACTCTACAGTCGTACGGTAGACTGGAGGCTAAAGTGTGTGAATAACGGTTGCAGGAATTGGGTAAGTCTACCTTAGTGAGAAGAAGGACCAGGCGGTGGACATGATAGCAATATTCCAGTAGTTGAGGGGACCAGAAGCAAAGGGTGGAAGTCCAGGCAGCTGGACTTTCCGCTTTCTCTTTGAAGATGTTGCGTTTCTCATCCAAGAAGCTTCTTCAGAACTGAAGAAGCTTCTTGGATGAGAAGCAAAACATCTTTAAACAGAAAGTCCAGATGCCTCTTGAAAAAAAAAAATACCACCTTCGGGACAACCGTGATCTGGAGGACGGAGGACCTCCTTAGACATTCAACGGAGGGGGAACTCATCAAGGAGAGAAGCAACCTGGAATTAAGGAGGAATTTCATGACAGTGAGGACAGTGAACCAGTGGAACTGCTTGCCACCAGAAGTTTGTGGCTGCTCCAACACGAGAAGTTTCGTAGAAGAGATTGGACAGCCATTTGTCTGAAATGATTTAAGGGCAGGGTCTCCAATCTTGGCAACTTTAAGACTTGGGGACTTCAACTCCCACAATTCCACAGCCAACATGGCTAGCTGAGGAATTCCGGGCGTTGAACGCCACGAGTCTTAAAGCGGCCAAGGTTGGAGACACTTGGTCTAGTTTCCTGCTTGAGTAGAAGGTTAGACTAGAAGACCTCCAAGGTCCCTTCCAACCCTGTTATTCTTTTATTCTGTTGTTCCGAGGTGCCCTCAGAAGGGGCTGGCCCTCCTCCAGATGTTATTGGGGAGGGGGAGATGGATGGACAGGAGCCCCGTGGCCCTTAGTGGGGTCCAAACTGGGCAGTTCAGAGTTCCAGGCTCAGCTTTGGTCCCCTAGCTAAACCCCTCCACACACACACCCTCCTTCCTGTGTCTCTCCTGCAACCTGTTGTGGTTCGCGAGCAGCCGGTGCAAACGGCAGCGGAATCGGACAGTGAGGACGAAAGGGAACCAGTCCGGGAGTCTGGAGAGGACTCGGACGAGGGTCCTGGCTCCGATGCAGGGATGGGGCCAGGACCATCTGGGAGTGGGGTGCTGCCTCCGGAGTCTGGCAGCAGTGAGGCAGAGGACCCAGGGGAGCCTGTTCCCAGTGGGCGTATGCGCAGAGATGCTAGAAGGCAAGAGCAGAAGGGGCGACTCGGGAGTAAGGATGGGAGGAGATGGCTCCTCCCCTCAGGGATAAAAGTCAGACCTCAATGATGAAACCTTTGCAGGAAGCAAAGTAGTTCAATTAGATTCCAAGGCCTTGAAGCTCTCTACTCTGGTCGGTTTTTCTGGGACTTTGGTTGGTTTATGTTATAATGAATTGGACTTCTGTTTTTTTGGCACCATTCCACGGCACTGAAAGGCGCGTGCTTATCTTGGGCAACTGTTTCAGGTTAGTTCTGGCTGGGAAGGCAAGTAATGCCCAGCGTTGCATGAAAAGAGGTTTGGCTTTGAAAACAGGTTGGTGTTTCATTACGTTTGACGGAGCCTGGGTCAGAGCAGAACCCTTCTCCTCTGTCTAGGCTCAAAGCTGCCCTCCACTGGCCTACTGTGCCCCGTGGCCCCCGGGGGTCTGCACCAGATGGTGGAGTCCATCAGCGCCCTCCAGGGAGAGCGGAGCCAGCTGGCTGAGGAGGTGGTGGGTCTCCAGCAGAGGATCGAAGAGCAAGAGAGGGAGAAGCAACAGCTGTCCAGGAGCTTCCACCACCAGGTGAGAGACCCCCCCACCCTCTCTGTGGCCGCTGGAGCAGAGTCCGGGCCCCCAGCCAGGGGTGGGATTCAACCGGTGGGACAAAACCGCCTGTTTTCAGCTCTAATACTTACCTTCCACTGCAGCCCCCGTGAGTAAAACAGCTGAGGCACGGCAATTTATGTGTGTGGCTAATGAAGGGAATCAGGGCCCTTTCCTCCCCCGTAAGCCACGCAACCCACGTTGCTCCCTTCTCCGTTCCTCCCTGCGTGCCCTAGGATGAAGAGGGGGTGGGCCTGGGTCTTCCTCCGAACTCCTCCCTCTCCCTTGTTCTACCTCTCCCCTGCTCTGCTCAGCCGGACTTTGCCCTTCCCCAGTTTCCTCCACAGCTGAGGGAGCCCCACTCCCTCTCCCTGTCAGCTGTTCCTCCTCGGATTCAGACTCCGACAGGGGCATGACACATGGTCTCCTCCTTCAGCAAGGGGGTGGACTAGGAGACCTCTAGGGCTCCTTCTGACCGTTCCATTTACAGGTTGTTCTCCATGTAGGGGGGGTGCGTGAAGGGGAGCTCAGCCAATCTCATTGTACATCAGGGGTGGTATTCAGAAAGTTCTGACCAGTTCTGGAGAACCGGTAGTGGAAATTTTGAGTGGTTTGGAGAACCAGCAAATCCCACCTCTGACTGGAGATTTTACAGTATCCTTCCCCTGCCACGCCCACCGAGCCACGCCCACAGAACCAGTAGTAAAAAAATTTGAATCTCACCCCCCCATTGTCCAGGCGTGTTGTACTCTGACAATAAAGATGACAATAACAATAACAATAATAATCTGCATTTGGATATGATGATGGGGAAGCTGCAACCGTCATAAGTCCATGCCAGTTGTCGAGCATCTGAATTTTGATCACGTGATGACAGGGAGGCTGCAATGGTCGTAAGTGTGAAAAACGGTCATAAGCAGGGGTGGGCTGCTTCCGGTTCGCCCTAGTTTGCCCAGACTGGTAGCTAATTTTATCCTTTTTAATAACCGGTTCCGTGAACCGGTAAATCCCAAGCCTGGCTGGCCCCGCCCACCCTACCCCGCTCCTCCCAGGAATCCCCACGCGGCCCATTTTGGATGCCAGGTAAGCGCAGGGCCCACACGGAAGCTCAGAGCGGTCAAAAAACGGGCCCTCGGGAACTTTGGGGAAGGCCGGAAATGGGCCTGTTTCCGGATTCCGGAGAGCCTCGGGAGTCTGGGGAGGCCATTGGAGTCTCAAGGGAAGCCTCG